TCACTGTGGACAAGGGCTTTACCCATATACCACAATGCCAGTCCCTATTGGTCCAATATCTTGCTGGGGCTGAGGGAACCTGGGATGGGCCACTTGGCTGCTTCTGAGGCAGCAGGAGGGAGAGCAAAGTTCTTCATTTCCTAGGTTCCTCTGCAGGCTGAACTACTCAGGGTTTGCTGCCTTGTTTCTTCCTAGTGCCGTGGGAGGCTAGATGAGCATTCTGGATGATTCTCAGGGCTGAATTTGTGAAGCTGCTGCGAGAAATGGCTTCATACAACTCTGGGTGCATTGGGCCTCAAAATAGCTCCATGCAGCAAGAGCCAGGGCCACACAGGGTGCAATGAGAGGCAAGCTCTTCTTCCCAGGTGTTGCAGCACTATCTAGAGTTCCTAAATAACCTAGAGTTCCCCAGACTGGACTTCTGGGTTCTGCAGCAGTAAATGCCTCAGACATCTATACTGTGACTAATGAATGTGTAGGTCCTCCTGCTTGTTCCCCCTTTTTTTAATGCACAAATTCCGTTTTGGTTTAAGGGTGATTAATCAGGAGAGAAGGAATGGCAGGTGCTGTGTGTTTAATAGCCTTCTCTCTAGGCCATGCTGTATATGTTTTTGTTGCAAAGTCTAGTCCCATGCTCACTTTCTTGACCTGCTACTCAGGACCTGCAATCTGTCCTTGCCCTGTGCTGTCAGATTAGGAGAAGTGGTAATGGAGGCAGCCCTTGTTCACTCGTACTAGAGGTTTGGTCTTGGTGTGTTCCCTGTGAGGTGGGGTTGGGAACAGAACAACTCGGCCTGTATTGGCCATCACTAAGGTGAGCTTGGTGCTGGACCTGCTACCAAGCCTGGACTTAACCCCTTCCAAGTGAGTTGGAGGTAGAGGGTGGGGTGAGGCAAGGGTTGACACAGGCAACTCTGTCCTTCCTTTAACAAAAAGTGAGATTTTTAAACTTTCTTTCTCTTTTTTTTCTTCCTTCCTTTCTTTCTTTTTTTTTTTTTTCTCTTTTTCACTTCAGAGCCAATGTTAGTAGAAAAAAACCCTGAAGTTATTACATATAATTCCAGAGGTGAACATAGCCTCTAATTTTAATTCTAACTTGTTGTCCACTGGGTTGTGGATAATGAAATGGTGGTTTCATAGAAAAGAAACTCACTTTGCTTTGAGATTTTGATGTAAGCCAAATTGAAGATCAGGAAATATCTCTTAGATGGTGTTATTGAAATAATATTAGAAATGGTTGAGTGCATTTTTCTTAAAAGCAGCTGCACATTAAAATGGCAAAGCAATGGTCATTGGCATTAATATTTCAATGCAGTTTTTTTCTGTGCTGTTAAAGCATCCACTGATCAATGGCCAAGTTTTAAATGCAAATCCCACCAAATGAGCCCTACATAGTAAGTAGACTCCATTCAAACTGATGAGTTCAATGAAGTTTTAAATGAAGGTTTGTATCTGGCTGAAGAAAATGATTTTGCTGTCATCCCCAGTTAGTAAGCTGCCTGTGATTTTTCCATAAACATAAATAAAAATGTTTTTGCCCTTGAACTTTGGTTCAGTGTTGTTTTGTGTGATTCTGTTGTATGAAAGAGGCACAGAGAGGAAAATGGGTCACTCTTTCTGCAGGAACGGGGTGTTCCTGTTCAGGAGATGCATGTCTGAGCCACACTTACAGAATGAGAGGATTCTCACCGAGTGTGGAGAAAGAGACACTGGTTAACTAAGACAGCGCTGGTTATTGGCATGGCATGATGTCAGGCCATAGCAGCATGTGTGATTATGATAAACTACGGGGTATAGAGCGAGATGTTCAGACTAGAAAGGCAGATATAAAATCACTTGACAAAAGCCTTTTTGTGCCTTCATCCCAGAGGCATTGAAGAACCATCCAAAGTCTTCATACAGATAGACAACAGGATCAGATGTGAGTTTTAGGGAGGACCCTGTCAAAACAGTTTAGAAGATAAAAGGTAAAGTGAAGGCAGCAGGGAGGCCAGTTAAAAAGTCATTGCAGTATCCAGGTACTGGTTACAGGCAGTTATGGCATATTAAAGAAGCTATCAGAATCTGTTTATTGGGAGTAAATGAAACAATTAGTCTCCTGTTGTCCATTCACTGCTGGGCACTGTCACTCATGAATTTTGATGGTTGTAATAAAGTGTTGGGCTAGTTGAGCACCCTGGAGTTGGTGGCTTCACACTGAGAATGTGGTAATCACACAGTAACTACAGCCAATTGACCTGATTGGGTTCTGGGGCTGATGACTAAGAGCCCTTGTGCTGTGTTGAGAATTAGGGCCCTAACATTAACCCAAGATGAAACACAATGCTTAGCTCATTTTATTTCCTCACTTCTTGTAAAGAAAGTGACATCAAGAGAAACTGAAAGCAGAAGATGAATGTGTGAGGGTACTTCCAAAGGAAAATGGAATTAAAAGCTAAATTTAATTTGAAAAAAGTTGGATATATATGCATAGCTTTCCCTTATATATATCATATATATATATATACATATGTGATATATATATATCACATGAGTATTGTGAAGCTTCATCATATATACTGCCCCAAACTTAATACTCATAGGTTGTTTCAAAGAGTGTATTTAGAAATTGGCTATGTGGAACATAGAATTCTCTAGAACAAGAAAAATTTGCTTGATAATTTGGCCCTTTGTACCTCAAAGCAGCCATGGCTCTAAATCATGAGGTAGTAGCAGGATTCAGGGATTTAGGAAGTGGGTGCAGTCTCTCTTGAGGGAGTTCAGTTGCCATGGAGCATTACTTAGCACAGTTAGGAAGTACTACATGTTTTGTGATTGTGGCAGCTCCCAAGTAAGCCAGTCTCGCCTAGAGTACCCAGAGGTGTGAGAGCTGTTAGTATAAAATGAGCGTTGGACTTGCCTCAGGAGCTCTGGGTGCAAATTCCAGCATGACCCGAATCCAGGGCCTTTGCTGCTTTTTGCTATTGCATGTTGCCTTTGCCAGATAGATGTCAAACACAGCAGACAGTAACATCATTATCCACATTTCTTACAGGTGATGTTCTTGCTTCTTGTACAGATGGCATGTGATAGTTGCATAACAAGTAAACAATCTGTGGAAAGCTAGCCACCTGGGTCATTCATGGCTTCTGCCATGCTAGTGATGGCTGTGATGTATCTGACACATGTGGCTGGCTGGGCCAGTCCTCCCTATAGCTTTTGTGAACCTTACAAAGTTGTGTCTTGTCAAAGAGAATTGCCTTCTCTACCCTATCATGGTTCCAAGCAAGTGAGATCATGCTTTTTAAACAGGAGACACTTTCTTTTAAGTATAAGAAACACAGAGTTCTTTGCTCTAGGGAGTTTTTGTCAGCCCTTTCACTGGTTAATCCTACCTTCCTCCGCCAATACACATACAACCAAAACTACTTTCTACATTTAAAACTAAATAAGGGAGTAATTTGTGTATTGTGGTGTAAGTTAACATGTTACAGAATTTTTTAAAAATACTTAGAAAATGGTAAGGAAATTGGAATGCTGAGGTATGGTGGCAATTGGTTTGTTCATTTATTTAGGATGATCAAGTGAGAGCTCATTAAGAAAGTGATATTTGTTGTAATTTTGAAGGAGAAGATGATCACCATAGTGGAAAGGAAGCAAATATATTTGTAAATTTTAGTCACAATGAATTTTTAGAGAAAACAATCTCATAAAGACCTAGCATTTTATTAGAATAACATAAAATAACTCATAGCAGATTCATATAAAGCATTCTATATGTATATCTACTTTTGTCATTCATTGCTGATTTCTTCGTAGGCTGGTTTCCACACTGTACACTGGCATCAGTTTGGGAGCAATGCTGAGTTGATCCGTGAGACCAGCCTTTACTTGGGCAGACTGGGGAGCTTTCATGGTTTTGAAAATAGAGCACAGGGATTCACAGCAAGGCAGGGACAAGACCAGCTGTGGGACTTGGATTTTATAGGCTAGAGAGAATGGCAGCTGGCATCAGAGAGGTGGTGATAGAAAAGATGGAAAGCAGTTGGTTCTTGATGTATTTCCAAGGTAGAGCGCATAGATTCTCTTGGATTAGATGATGAGTATAAAGGACAGTGCAGTAGAGGATGATTCCAAACGTGACAACTGGATAACTGGAAATTAAGTTACTCTCAACTGCAAGAGAGAAGACCCCAAGTGAGGAGAAACTAAAGGCAAAATCAAGAGTTTCTTGTATTTTCCATTAGACTTTGTGCATAGGAAATGAAGACCTATTCAAGTGCAAACTGTTTGAACATTATGTCGTTGCCCAAAGAGCTGTGTCTTAAAGTGGCTCTTCTGGCCAGAGAAAAGCCCAAGGGTTTCTTTATATTCCTCACCTAGAATCTTTATCATTCAAAGCAGGAAATTACTGTATTTTCAAAGGCTCAAGAAAATTAAAAGCCTTTATCATTGATTGCAGCCTAACAATAAACTTTCCCCTAATTGGAAATCATGCACTTTTTTCTTTTTTTTTTTTAATTATTTTTAATGTTAGTTACAAGCAAAAGAATTGTCGCCTTCTTGTAAAGATACCAACTTTAATGACCCTGAATCCCATGAGGCAGCTACAGAACTGATGAGGATTTAAGAGCAATCTGGCTGAGTCATCTGGCACACATTTGATTGCCAGGATTAATTTGGCACCTCTGATTGTCAATAGTTATAGAATTCATTACCAAATCTTATTTGTATCAAAAACACAGCAGCTCTTGTTATTTTATTATTTTGTGGAAAAAGTGCAAAAATAGAGATCATAAGCCCCAGTTCTTTAAAATAAATATGTAATACATGTGTGCTTAACAGACTGAGGAAATAAAATAATACGTATGGTTATTTGAGTTGAAAGACCATCAGTGGTTTCTTCTTTGTGTTTTTTGGTGTATAGTAACAACTTATACTTTAAAACTTGGCAGTAATAGTAACTGTTAAAGAAAGTGAGTGCTACATCATGTGATGTCTTCCCTCTCTGGTCCCCACAGCTCACCATCTGCTACCTGGATATGCTGATGACCAGTGATGAGCGCCGGAAGCAGCTGAGGGACCAGTACTGCTTTGAGTGTGACTGTTTCCGATGCCAGACCCAAGATAAGGTATTTTGTTTGGAGTGTGCTGGAATGCTTCCCACACAGGAGCTCAGTGATTGATAACTTTGTTTGTATTTCATGAATCCAAAATTAAATGATTCTCAGGTAGGTCTCTGAGCCATGAAAAAAAAAAAAAAAACAGAAAAGTGGAATAATAGCATTAAGCTGCATATGTTTGATGTCCTAGAACTGTTGTCCACTGAACAGCATATATCTGATTTCCTAGAGCTTTTGTTTGTATCTAGTGTTTTATCTCTTTGAAATTTGGTCCGCTAGTCTTTCCAGGGTAGTATTTCATCAGCTTAATATAGCGTACTCTACCACTTTCACTTTTTCAAGGAAAAAGAGCCAAAATAAATGCCATAGAGATTATGAACGAACTTTATTCATGGTACTCATGCTTTTCTTATTTTGAGCTTATTTAGTTTGCACAATGTCAGGTTACTGCATGACACCTTATGTCTGTGAAGTGTTTACATTGTTAGTATTGTTTTGTAGTCTCTATCTCATTTGATCTTTTCTAAATAAATTTTAAAAACAGAGCTCAGGGTCAGAAACATGCACCTCTGAAATGGGATAAAGGAAGAAGTGGCAGAACGAAATGTCACATAGCAATCTTTTGAATCAGTCTAGTGTCCCTGTCAAGGTGCCATAGTCACCAGTGATTTCTGATGCTTATGTCAGTGGAGAAGAGGCAGTCGCTCTCACTGGAGGGGAAAGGACATTGAACATGGTTAGTTTCGCATTTGAAAAGAAAAAACTTTTGGAAAGAACTGAATTTAAATGAGTAAAGATGAACCCACTAATAATAGCTCCCTCAAAGTTCCATTAACTGAAGCCAACTTCTAGTGTTAGCTATTTCTTTCCAGTAATTATTTGTATTTTGGTGATTTTTAAATAGTTGATTAGAGTGATAAGGGTCAAGGGCTACAGGAAGGTGGTGAGGCCATTATTTCCACATTCTCTTTTTTTCTTTCCTGTGTCTGGGGGAGAGGGGGAGATAAGAGGAGAAGCCACACCCAGCCTCCCAAACGCCTCTAATAGGCAGGGATGGAAAACAGCCACCTGACATTACCCCAGGGTCCCTGATGTGGGGCATGCTCTGAAGCTGCTGCTCAAGAGGTTTTGATAGTTTAACAGTTCTGAATTACTACCAATCTCTGCACTCCAAGCACGATGAAATCTCTCCAGAATCCATTGGTTGACATAGTCCACCTTAAAGTCTTCGTTTGCCCAGATATTCATTACCAACACTTGGCTGGGGTAGTTTATCAATTTGTTCTGTCCTCCAACCTCTGTTATGTACTAGGTACCAGGAGGCCCAGCTCTGACACATGCACTCCATGATCAGACCATAAAACCTACAATTCTCTCCATGGGTAGGGTTCTGAGTCCAGCAATTCAGTTGAAGGGATCCTCAAAGAAACTTCATCTGAGGTGATCCCAGTCCTGATCTTGTGTGTACTTACTTGCCAATACAGGGTCTGGCCCAGTCAGCTTGTGCACACACTGGTGGTTGCAATTGCTGGGTCAGTTCTGTCTCCAGCTCTGTCTTCTGTGCGAAGTAATGGGTGATGCAGTCCAGTCTGATCCTGCCCACTGCACACTTGGCCCTCATGCAAACCAGTGGGAGCTGCAGCCTAGTCAGGGCAATCTGCAATAACCCCCACCAGGCCCGCCCCTTGTCCTGGTTCCTGCATGCCAGTATGTACAGCAGACTGGTCCAGTCTGTCCCACATCCCTTCAGCTCTCAAATTTGTTGATGGGCACTGAAACCTAGTCCAACCCAACCAGCTCCACTATCCAGGCTACACACGTGCCAGTGAGTGCTACACTCTGTCTAGCCATGCCTGCCCCAGTCCTGGTTTTCATACTTGCCAGTTGGAGTGGCAACCCAAGAGGCTACCTACTGTTTCCCTATTGGGCCCATTTCCAGATCATGCCCTCTCCAGGTGGTTCTGCATGTTCACTTGACAGGATTTGCCCCCAGTGCCAGCATTTGCCAGCTGATGCTGTGGCAAAGCCCAACCAACCTTCATCCACTGTGACTTATTCTTGCACCAGTAGGAATAGTCAACACAACCTGGTTTTCTCCTGATCCAGCTCACATGAGGTCCACAGGTATTATAACTTTGTGTGGCCTGGTCTGCCCCCATCCCAACTCTCACAGTCACCAGTGGGAGTGGTGGTCCAGTAGGGGAGCCCCACACAGCTCTCCTACTGGGTTCACCCCTTCCCTCCCCGGGATCAACATGTGCTGGTTGGGTTGTACTATAGCCTGGCCAGGACCAGCTCACCCCCAATTCCAACCCACAGTGTTGGAGGCTAAAGCCTAGCCCATCTCAGCCGGCCCTTAGCCCCAGTCCTCATGTGAACTGGCTGTGTTGCAGCCCAACCAATACTCCATTTTGGTGCTTGGATTCACAAGTGTGTGACATGAACTGGCCCACTTGGTTAGTCCCTGACGTATGCCAAATGTATGCTGATGAGTACCATTACCTGGCTTGGTTGGGCTACTCCCTTTTGTGGTTCTTGTGCTTACCTGCAGGGACTGTGTCTCAACAGAGGAGTTCCCCAAGTTATTCCATCAGAACTTTCAATGCCAGATCTCGTGCCCATAGGTAGGTCCTGGGCCAGCCCCCCTTAGTCCACTTCCTGTCCTAGCAGAAACAGTGGCCTTTCCTGACTGACCTTCAGCCATTCCAGTTTTTACTGTTGGGTATTACTGCCCAGCCAAGCTTAGTCCACACCCAGGCAAGCTCACACGTGGTTCAGCAGGGGCAGAGACTTAGCCCAGCCTATTATACACCTACCCTGGTTTTACCAAGCACCAGTTGGTACTAGAGTCTATCCCAGTCTGGCGCACCCCAGACCCAGTCCACACTTGTGCCAAATTACACTGCAGCTATATCCAGACCAGACAGCAGTCCCCACTCTGGACCTTGCACTCACCAGTGGGAAACACAACCTGGCTGGGCTGTCTCCTTTGCTCTCCAAACAGTTCTTTTCCCAGTCATGGATCTTGTGTGTGCCAGTGATTGCTCTGACCCAGCTTGGCATAGTCCCTTACCTGTTTTGGTCTTTGCCTTTAGGTGCTGAAACCTGGCTTGACCCAGCTGATCCTCCATCCCAACTCTGGCTGGTGGGTGCTAGAACTTGGCCCTGCTCAGTCTGCTCCCATCCCTGGCTCATGCAAACCTGTAGGGTAACAGCCTATTCCGGCATGACCTGTGCTCCAGCCTGGTTTCTGCACTTGCGGGTGAGCTAAGGTTTGCTCCGCCCTGCCAAGCCTGCCCCTTCCAAAACCAACCCACACATTTGCCAACAGTTGGAGCTACCTTGCCCAGCTTGCCCGACCCCCATGCCTGGACCACATGCTCACCAGCCAGAGCTATGACCCACTAGGGTGTTTCCCAAGTTTCCCCACTGTACTCTTAGAACCAGATCTCATGCATGCCAGCAGGTCTAGGCCCTTGCCCAGCATTGCCTGCCCCTCCATCTTGTCGTTGTATGTACTGGTGCATGTTGCAGCCCAGCCTGCCCCACACTCTGTTTCAGGATGCGTGTGTGGGTGCTATAGCCTGGACCTCCCAGACTATTCTCAGTCCCTATACTTGTGAGTGTGGCAGGTTCCATCATCACACCTAGTTCAGCCTAGTGTTAGCTTTTTGATGCTGGTCAAAAATATGCCATAAATAAGCAAATACCCTTGTGATTCCTCCCCAGGCTCTGATTCAGAATAATGAGCTAGCTTCCTGTTAGCATCTTTTTATAGGTATGCTGCTCTATTTAGTTTCTCTTAAATGTCATGAGTATGATAGGCCTTCAAAAATTTCCTGAATGAATGAACAACCTTATCTTATTAAAAATGGTGTCCTGTTCATTACTGTTTTATTGAAATAATTGAAATATGGGCTGCAGTAGTTTGTTAGGAAAGAGTTTAACTACAGTTAACAATAACCCCCAAGAGGTTATCTTTAATTGAGGAGATATATTTGTCTAATGAATTCTGGAGAGATCATCTAAGATGAGAGCTTCTACTGGGACATATCTTACTGCAGACATGAAATCCTTAACCATTTGTAGCATGTGGCTTCTGCCTTTACACTCCTAAGATGAGATTTCTCCCCCTACCCATGCCCCGCAGTCATTGTCTCTAAGCTCTAGACAAGAAGAGGGGCTAACACACAAAGAGCAAAGGGAATACCTCTTGGGGAGGCGTGCCCCAATCTTGCTGTTCAGAATGGTGTCTTATGGCCACCTTTAGCTAGAAAAGAGCCTAGGAAAGGATTTCAGTTTCTTTCCCTTGATGAAAGAGGAAAACAAGGGAGGAGTGAATAGCTTTTAGGGAGCCAATCAATCCACCATGTCTGCAATATCCACAGAAACTGTCGTCTGTTCATCTGTTCTCTCTTGAGCTGGGGTTTAACACTGTAGTAGTCAGAGTTTACCAGAAAACAACCAACCAATACACACACACACACACACACATTGGTTATAAAGGAATTCATGATTTTGGAGGTGATAAATCCTAAGAGCTGTAGTTGGAAACTGGAGATGCAGGGAAGTCGAATAGTATCATCTCAGGCCAAGCCTGGTGGCGTAGAACCAAAAGAACTGGTACAGTAGGTGCTAGATGAAGAACTGGCAGACTTGAGACCCAAGAAGAAGTGGGCATGACCAGTGTCTTAGCTACAGCAGTAAATTAGGAGAATTTCCCTTTTGTGAGAGGGAAGGTCAGCCTTTTTATTCTACTGAGGCCTTCCACTCATGTGATGAGGGCCACCCAGGTCACGCTCTGTCACCTTTACTTAGTGGATCCAAAGGTTCATTTCATCCAGTAAGGCTCTCACAGATAAACCAGGCAAACGGGTTACTTTGACGTGAAAATCTTGGCACCTTATTTCCCAGTCACACTGACAACTAACATTAGCCATCACAAATGTTGTCTTAGAGATAGGCCATATAGTATAATCTGAAGTACTGAATTGCTGTGCTTGGTTCTA